GTTTTCTGCTGTTCAAGTTCGTTTCTAACGAAGCGTCCTCAGATAAATCAAAAAATTCATACTCAGCTTTTGTCAATATCCCGCTCATTATGTCAGGCTGAAAGGGGCTCATAATCCATTTTTTCTCTTGGATATTTTTCATTTCTTCAAGGAAATAAAACTCAAAACTCTCTTTCAGCTTATTCAAGTGTTCAGATATCTCAATGATTATATCGTCATCAACTTTTGCTTCATTCTCCATTACAAAGGTTTGAAATATTTCAAAACAGTCATAATTTCGGTTGTCAATACAGTTTTTCCATAGAACAAGTTTTTTCATGATACCTCGAATTTTCTCATGAACTGCGAATATACTGATACTTTCTGCTCCTTGCAAGTACAAATTCAGTTCGTTTAGTTTTGAAAAATTCTGCAATCAACTGATAAAACTGGTACTATAGTTAAAGTACTGTATGAATAGGTGAAAATTGATTTCCTTTTTACGATGACGAATGATTAAATTGAGAGCATGATCAACCCTGATTCGTTAAGCTCGTCAAAACAACATACTGCTTGATACAACAACAGCCAGGCAATGAAAGCCCGAGTCTTGAACTATCTCGACAGACAGCATTTAATTGAAGCTAATGCGTAATTCTAGTATAACTTTTTATGACCCACTAACATTCCGCTTGCGACCCACCAGTGGGTCTCGACCCATAGTTTGGGAAACGCTGCTCTAAAGAATTCAAACAAACAGTACACGTCACAACATCTGGCAATTAATTTCACAGTTAATTAGCTTACAGTTAATTGGAAAATTTTGTTTAAAAACAATTCTGCTTCTGTGCAAGCTTTTGAGGCATATATCTGTTAACCCCAGTATTCAAGTCTTATGTTTACAACTTTTTCATCCATCATACACTTAAACAGAACACCAATAGAAAATTCTTATTATCACTAATTATTTTATATTTCTGCATCAAGCCACTTCTGAGTAACTATGCTTTATGCATTTTGGAAATTAAAAATTCCATTAGACATTATACAAACCCTTAGGAATTAGTTTGAGATTGATAGTGCTTTCAACAGCATTTGAAAATTTTTAGTGCAGAAATATTGGAAGAACTAAATTTTTGACATAGAACTAAAAACTTACAATATATGTTATTTTTTTTGAAATTTTAGGGAATACTTCTTAATGTTCTTAACGTATCAGTACCATTTCTATACTGTACAATGCTAGCTGTGGATTGATTTCTGGGAAAACATTGGTTGATTAGAGATTTAGATTAAGCTTACTATAATAAGCATTTAGCTTATATTTCAAAGTGATGATGTGCTAATAAATTGTGGTTAAGCTTTAACATTACAACCTAAATAAAAGGAGCAGATATGGGTGCAACTGCCCATGTTGATTAGTTATTAGAACCTTCAATAACCATGTACTTTTGTGTTCATTTTGAAAGTAAACCCAAGTTACAGATAAAAGAACAGTTCAATAATTCTGTGTATTTATTCATAAGTGATTATTTGCTAGAGATTAGTACTAGGGAAGAATAAATAGGTGCATTTCAATACTTATTCTTCTGTATGCATTCTTTCAAGTTGGCTTTTGAACATTCTACTGTAAACTCGATGTGTGATGTAATTGATCCATTCCTGCAATAAAACAGGGTTCATGCTTTCAGAGTTCCAACTACACTTATTATATTCCCCCAGGACAAAATTTAGGTCACCTTCATTTTTAAACTCAGTCGGTCACCCATTGTGCCAAAGGCAATATAACCAAAGTCTTACTTTCCATAACTCTTGACATAAACCAGTCATATTGCCAAGACACTACATGTTTATTCATATTCTCTAAACTCAGCATGCATAATACAGGAATAAGCCAGTCAACATGCTCAATGTCAGTACTAGTTACACATATTGGTTGTTACTCAAAGTTTGTGTCAAAACAAAAAAAAGTAAGCTCAAAATTGTATTGATAGACATAATTAGATTAATTATGTCACTATCAGTGGATTATGGAGGGGTATTAATTGTGATTGGGAAAGGTGCCATGTCTTTTTCAGCAAAAGAATTGCTTTATTTTTGATTGAATTGTTTGTCATTGGAGGAAATTGCTAATTATGCAAGATGTGTGCTGTAAAGTGATACCATTTTAAATTTTTTTTACTCATTAATTTACAGATATAATTGCATTTTAAGCATGCAGTCAAATGAAACTTTGTATACTGCTGCCCACAATAGTATTTTTCATTTGTTCAGAATGCCTATCAAATTGGTTAGATGTAAAACTTTTGGAAAAATCTGAGTCAAATTTTGGACAGAAACGAAAGCCCAATGAAAAATTAGAAAAGAAAAAGCCAAAAAATTCTGATAAACTTTTGAATCAGAATGACCTCTGTTGGTATGTACAAGGTACTAAAAGATTATGGCACTGCTCATTTTGTAAAGACACAGGAAAAAGCAATGTGCTTTGTGTGTTGGCACAAAAATTTTGCTAAGACTACAAAATATGACCGGTATTCAAAATGTAAGTTAGAAAATTAAATATAAATTGGAAAAAAAAGAAAACGCAGTAAATTTAGAAAATGGTTTTATATTAGTATGAATGAAGACAGTTTATTAATTAAAATTTTTAAAAAAATCTTTTTAAATCAGTAGATTGATTTTTCTTAGATTCTGAAGAAATAAGCTTTTAAATTAAGAAAAATTCAATCCCAATTATTTAATACTTCAACATTCTCAACTATAATCAGCTTTTCCCAACATCTTAGTATGTTGAGGAAATTTGGAACATTACTATTCAAGAAACTTCCCAAATCATTGATGTAATGAGAAACAGTAATAACAAGGTCTTAAATTACAAGGTGATCTAAAAAGAGGATATCCGACAGATTACTTATGATAAGAATATAATACTTTAATGACACAAGTATAAGTTACTGAAATAGAACATTTGGCTTGTAACAGTGTCAGTTATAATAGTTTGTTATGTTCTTCCCACAATAAACTGGTAGGGTCTCTCTCATTGGATCACCGTGTAAATCCCACACTTCACATTTGCTCATATGTAAAAAACTCTCATTCATTAACACACTTTACTAATAAATCTTGTGAAGCATCTTATCAAAGGCTTTTTAAAAGTCATGATATACAGCATCAGCTTGGATGCCCTCATTCAAAAACCAAATTTTTGAAGACAATAAAAGTCAAATTAACAGTCCTATAGTTTCTAGTAAGCTAAACAGTTGCCTCCTGAACGTAATAGAAATATCTAATATTAAATCTTGTGCCAGTAGTTATAATTGTTAACAATATAGCCACAAGAATATACAGTTAATATATTTAGTGTTTTGGTTAACTCCACCAAATTCTTCAGTAATTTTAAATGATTATTCTATTCTGGTAAGTTTTATACATGTGTGTTATATGACTGATTACGCATACTTTTGAATACTTGAGCAAAGAAGTGGCCTTTGATAATGGCATTGATGCTAGGTGCTCACCCACCATAATACCTTATTGAATATTAGACAGATCCTTACTGTTATCCATTGTTTTTCAGACCAACCTTAACCATATGGTGCCTGGCTAGATGCACCTGTTACATGAGGGCTAAATTGTACCATTGAAGTAATTAGTTGTAGAACATGACTTCAAACTGAGCAATATTAATCAGGTTTACAATCAAAAGTACTTGTACATGTGAGAGAAGTTCAACATATTATACCATCTGAGCTGAATTGTGTTTCTGTAATAATCTGAACCATGAATTTATACTGGTTTAAAATCGAAACAATATATTAATTAGAACAATGTGACAGATTTGTTTTGATAGGAAAATGATGTGTATGATGTCTTTTGTGCATTTTTTTTTTGAGAAGGACTGTTAAAAATATGACTTGGTTACACTATTGCATGAAAGTTTAATCATTTATATACTGTAGATTATAAGACTATCAAAATATATAAGACCATTAAAGTATTTATAACTGAGAGGAAATTTGGTCAATGTAAGGTTGAACATGTTTATAAAAAAAGTCTTCAATTATGTACTTATATACGGAGAAAAAAAAACTGCATCTTATTATTTGTATGCTTGTATCTTTGAGAAAATCTTAGATTTATTTTATTTCAGTGAAACAAATACTAAAAGCATTCATTTTAGTATATTATATGCATGGTATTTTTTCTATGCCATGCACTGTAATTTTGTTATAAGGCTTAAGTATTTCTTTTTGAACATACAACATTGTGAGTGTGTCATAAGATTGTTAGAATTAAATTGTATTCTTTCTTTCTCAAAATCCTCTAATTATTTTAGTATTACAGTTATTTTTAATAATTCCATAATATTTCACATTGTGTTACAATTTTAAACAGAAATATGTGGAAAAGAGTGATCCTGAAATGTAAGTGCATATTGCCAGTTGTTATTTTTTATTGAATAGTAAAAGCATGTCATGACCTCCTACAACATTGTAATGATTCTATTAGGACATATTTTATATGAAAGTTCTCAATGTTTGGATTTCTTATGTTCTAGAAATGTCCAATAGAAGAGTTGAAGTTGCTATGTAAGGAACAACTAGAAGTGATGTCTAAGAAATGTATTCTCCATATTTTATCTTGTGAGTTTAACAATGTTTTATTAATTTCTTTACACAATTTTAAAACACATTTGGACCAGAAAGCATGCTTCAGGTGTCAATTGCATACTAGTTGATCACGTTTCAAAATTTAAGTATAAATAATAATTTTAACTATATATTAACAAATTTTTGATATTGATATTTTGTCATTATGTAATATTTACTTTGTATAATTTGCAAAGAAAAATGAAAAGAGTGTTTCAACTTTAATTTCTGGCAACTACAAGGAATCTCACTTATAAAGAATTAATACATTTATTTTAGAATTTTTCTGTCCATCCCAAAGTATCACTTTTTGTTGCCATCCTTGTATAATGTCACAGCATGTGGTCTGATCAATTAATAATGAACCTCATCTGTGAAAATAGCTCAAGTCAGTGGCAAAATGTCATTAGATAGAACAATTTATAAACTATGTACATAAGTGTAGAATAAATAAAGTGGTTTGAGAAGTTTAGAAGAAAATGTAGTACAAATCACAGATCTGGATGTTTTATAGTTACCTTAGAGTTCTTTTCATTTTTCCTTAAAATATTTTTGTGTTAGATTATATCTGTTTGAAAGCCACAGAAATTCAGCTTTTTTTTTTTTAGACTTAACAAGTTCTATACTAAGGCAATGGCTAATTATTCAGATCAGTCAAATCCTTATTTATTGATTAATAAAGTTATGTTTATCATATTTAATCAATGCACACAAATAAAATAACATATTATTTATTAAAAACTTGCTTATTAGATATTAACTTATTTCAGCCAAGAATGTTGTTACAGTTTTCATATTATAGCACTTTTTATGCATAAATGCACAAATTGTAATATCAGGGTTGGAGAAAATTGCTGAATGATGTATCAAAGGGAACCAGACTAAAATTACCCTTCATAGTTTTCAGTTATTCCTTTTCAGCATCATATAGTTTTCAATGTAATTGAGATCTTTTGTCTGCAGTTTGCTTTGATTTGGCATTACAACATCCATACTGTTCCCTGTGGTATGGTGAGCAGAATGTGGTATGTCCCATTTTACATTGCTCCCCCCACTCTGGTGGTTCAACAAAAAATTGAATTTCAATACCCACAGTGGGCAGAGCACAGATAGACCATTGTGTAGCTTTGGGCTTAACAACAAACCATTTTATGTTGCCATCTGTTTTCCAAGGAGGACTTAGTGGCAGATGAAAAAATACATTATGGGCAAACCAATACAATGTAGAAAACATTTTTGTATTATTACAGTTAGTAAGTAATAACTTATAAAATTAGAAATTCTGGTGTTTTTATGTAAAAATATAAGGAGACCCAAAATTCTCTCCAAGCGACATTGAAGGGAGATCTCTTTTTTTTCCAAGTTATAGGGACCCCAAGACTAAAAAAAAAGTTAAGATACCAGTGTTAACACTGTGTTAGCAAAAAGATCATAATGCCTAGCCTGATAAAGGTAATGGTAACACCATTTTGATAGATTAGGTCTTAGATCACCAGTAAATATTTTTTTTTATGATTTATAACCATAAGTGGTGACTATTGCAATAAGCAAAATGAAATATCACAAGAAATATGTTAATAGATTTCAGTCAAGTTGAAACTACTTGATTAACAGTATAAAATATTGAAATTCTAAGATAAAAAAATAAATATCTTAAATGTTTGTTTTTTTGATACAATGTTAGAAATTTCACAACCTATATAATTGTTTTAAAGCTGAATCTAGATACTGTTTAGCAAACTAGTATTAATATTCATGCAGTATGGTTAAGTGTTTCCATTGTGAGAAAAAAAAAATCAGAGAATATCAATGACACCTGTATTGTTCTGGTATGTTTTTTGCTGCTTCAAAATACAAAAAATGGGGATTGTAGAAAGCAGTGTTTTATGTAAAGTGAGTGTATGAATCACTGTGGTGAATTAAATACACTATGTTTTAACATTCCTGAGAAATTCTACTTATGATGCTATTCAGTACGTTTTAGCTTACTGATAGACAAGCATGGGTTTGAATTGTATACTAACCAGCATTTGACTGTTGTTGTTGTACACTATACATTATATACATATCTGAGGAGCAACACACAAGCTAGTTTTATGAAGATCTTATGGTTTATCAGTGATCTAGCATCAGCTTCAATGTATGTGTAAATTTGGGTGGGAAATAATACTTTCTAGCTTAATACTTTATAATAGTAAACATTTAAACTCATCAACTAAACCTTAGTATTTCAAAGAAAACAAAAAAATAACATTTTCTTAACCCTGAGTGTGTGACTCAACTAGGCCATAATTTGTAAAATGAGGTGATAAATTTTTACATCATTGGATCTAGTAATACTATTTTGTCACTTTTGATTATTGTATCTTTTAAACTTAGGTCTAAAGAATACAAATCCAGCACAAAAGCTGAAATTAATTTTGATACAACTTCCAAATTGTTTGCCAAATTTGCCTATTTTGATGGAGTGGATTTTTGTTTTTATTGTAAACCTGTCAGAAACTTGTAAATTTTGAGCATAAATAATAACTACAAGTATCTGAATAAGAACATCAACAAACAAAAGTAAACAACTTGACTTTTACAAACTTCATTAGCATCTCAATCACCATTTCAAGATTCAAGACAACAGCAACATTATTTAAATAAAAAGCAGAAGTTGGGATATCCTGAAAGAATGTTATTGTGGAAAAGATAGTTTCCAAAAATGAATCTAAAGAAAGCTAGAAGTGAAAAACAGAGTTTCTTTTCATTTCTAGTTAGCCGTAGCTTAGCAGCTCATAGAACAGGTCTTGAGTTTTTAGGGTACAAACTTTTAGCTCATAGCTCCATTATCTCTTGACCAGTTTGAGAACTAATTACAGTTTTGGACTCAGGAGGTCAAACCCTTTTGATTGATGTATTTGACCAAGCTTAAGGTCTCATAGATGAATTTACTCTAATCCTGCTTAAAAGAATTTCAAGTTGAGGGTAGGCAGATGGAGATCCTGATTAGTAATAAAATTGAATCGGGTGCACGTGTGCCTCATGCTTGGTATTGCTGGCACACAAAAATATAGCTAAATAAAGGAAAAAAAAAGTCTCGTAAATTAATTTACTCTAATCCTGCCTAAAAGAATTTCAAGTGCTGTGGCTTTTGAGGATTCCCTCTTGTTTTTATTTATTCATTTTTGGAAACCTTTTTGCCCATTTCTTCATGTTAATGTTCATTAGATATCCCATCATAATCACATTTACACTGACTGCACTTATTGCACTTCCAATACCTTTTTACTTTTAAATTGCAAGAAATTGATGGTATAAGATCACACTGTGACGTTTTTGTAATATTCTACATTTGTTTACTATGCTTGAAAACAGGAAAGAACACAGAAGGAAAAAGCAACTTTTGCTCAGGAAATGAAAAATATTGGTAAAAAAAAAAGTGCAAAGAAAGTTCAATAACTTTCAAGAAGAAATGTTACTGTCAATTTGTCTTCACAGAATGGAAGCCCTAATCCACAGCTTTCATTTTAGTTCATTTTTGGATGTTTTGAAGTCAAAAGTAATAGCAAATTATGGACTAAAATTATAATTTCAGACATGTTTTTCACCACAAGAAAAAAAAATCTTGAATAATTGTATTACAAATGTTGGTAATCATTATACAAATATAAAGATATTTTTTGCAAGTTCTCCTGTTCACTTCTCCATTAAATGTGTGTTTTTTTTTATATGGCAATAGAGAAAGTTATAAAGATAATTTGTTCATAATTAAGTGTTAAAGAAGTGATCTTTAAAGAGCATCATTCAATAATGTAATTACATAGGTATGTAGGCATTATGTGTTTAATTGATAAATCTTGGTCTATTTGAAAATATTTTGCATGGTCAAACAAACTCAAGTAGACTTAACTTTATTTAATAAAACTACATGTGTGCAAGTTTATTTAGTAAAAACTACATGTGTGTAAATTTATTTAATAAAACTACGTGTATGAATTTATTTAATAAAACTACATGTATGTAAAGTTATTTAATAAAACTACGTGTGTGAATTTATTTAATAAAACTACATGTATGTAAAGTTATTTAATAAAACTACATGTATGTAAAGTTATTTAATAAAACTACATGTATGTAAAGTAAACAATACAGTAAAATCATGGCACTTATAATAGTTTACAGAGTATGAAACAGTTATGAAAGTTCAGCATATGACAGTTTTACAAGTTGAAACAAAAAACTCACAAAAATTAAGAATAAAATACATAGTGAAGAGAAAAGTAGCTAAAAGGTGTTTATAGCAATCTATGAAGTGAACCAAAGCTAATTATTGTAAAAGTAAAGTAAATGTAAAGTTGTAATGAAGGCAAACTTAGCTGAATATGCAGAAATATCTGAATGTGTGTTCATAAAGTGGTAAGCATATGGTTTGGAACGAACTATGTATGTGTATTTTAGACCTAAGTAAGTCGAGAAAACCCATAGAAATTGTGTAATATTCATTTTTTTAGGAAATGACACATAGGTTAAGTGTTGTTTGTGTGAAATACTTTGCAAATAAAAAAACTAAAGTTGACAACTACATTGTTTCATCTTATGCTGTACTTGTTGTATTGAAAAGTTTGACTAAGCAAAAAAACAGACTCAGACAAAGGTCTTTCTAAGGATATGAGGTTTGTAGCATTTGATCAAGAAATTTGCAAGAAATGTTCTGGACAGACAAACACAAACATATTATTTATATAGATTTGTAAAGAATTATATGGGAATTATTTCAAACTCCAGCATAAAGTAGAAGAACTATTTTGAGAAGCTGAATAATTATTGTTATATATCTGTTGAACCTGTGTTTTTATTGAAATCTTCCATGTTTCCCTGCAGTACATTAGTGTACAATAATATACATTTTAACTAATTTTATAAACAGTTATTTAAAAATGACAAAAACTTCAGGGTAATTTTTATATTTTTGAATGATAAACTGTATGTTTAAATTTAGTTATTGTTATTACATGCTGATTACATACATAAATAAAGTCAGTTATTTAGTTATAACTTGTAATGTTTTAAAACAGCTGAAGAAATGGTTTCTTCATTGGGTACTGAAAAAGAAAATATCAAGGAACAAGAAGGTAGGGTTATATGTACATCACTAGACAAGATGATTAACATGTAGATAGAAACTATAGTTGTTCAGATGTTCTACGTATATTATTACACATTTTTATTATGTAACAAATTGTGAAAATATTTAAAAATTTGCTTTCTTTTTCCTAAAGTTTGTAATATAGCAGAATTTTGGTATATACCTATACATTAATGACCATCCTTTATGTTGTAAAAAAAAGAAAAGTCAAATTTAACAACAATATTCACAAAATTAAGCTTTAATTATAATGTATAATGTTTATTTTGAAACAGCTGAAAAATATTTTCTTCATTAGGCACAGAAGAAGAAAATATTAAAGAACCTGAAGGTAGGATACATGTTTATTAATATACAAGATGGTAAATGTACATCTAAAAACTATTTAAAAAACTTTTTCTCATTTTTATCATGTAGCACAAATTGTGAAAGACAAACTCTTTCTTCTTGTTAAAGCTTTTAATATAGCAAGATTTTAGCTTTACCTACATTGCGACAACCATCGTCTTTGTTGTAAAACAAGATCAAATTTAACAATACTTACAAAATTAAAAGTTTTAACATGGAGTAATTCATTTTTCACCCTCGATTTCAGTATTACTGGGTTTTAAACATGACTGAAATGACTGTGGTTGAGCTGTAACTAAATTTGCTTAGATAATAGTAAAGATTATGCCTATAATCTTGTGCTTGTCTCTTTTGATTCATGACACACTTAATAAGAAATATATAAAGTTCATTTTTCATTGCTCCCTTAAAATTATTTAAATGAACTTTTTTTAAACCTGTAATCCTTTTCCCAAGTGTATTAATTTGAAATTATCTGCCTTTTATGTTTTTGAAGTATCCACTTTGTCATTCATTACCATATTTCATCATTGTATTGTTTTTAAATGTAATGAATAATATGATGAAATTTTAAAATTTTGTCATAATTTGGAAATCTTGTGTATGTTTATACAAGGTTGATACTAAAACTTTGTGGCTGATTTTAAGACAAGTTTCTATTGCTCAATAAAATTATGTGTTCCATAAAATATTTTATGTCCTTTTAAAATAAATAGTATTCATTTGTTTTGTATGTGTCGTCTCAGTAGAATCTTAATGTTTAATTTTTTATTGATTCCATTAGGAAGTAATTATTACCATAAAATTAAAAAAATAGACTCAAGTTTTTCCTTTACAAAATAATAATATTGTTCTATATCAACTAATCTCTTGACTTAATAGAAAATTAAAAAAAAACACAGTATGCATAATGTATATGAATATATCTGAGATGCAGAATTCCATGCTTAATACAGATTTATATGCAACCTCATTATATACCAGGAAATACCATTTTCAAATTCTATCAGTTTTACCGATTTCTTCTTCTGAGTTACACTCCTGTTACTCAGAACAGGGAACCGAATAGTTTGGTTTATTTGATTAGCAGAAACTGCTAATAATTATTGAATTTGATTAGCAATTAGCAGATATTGCTTAGCATCTTTTTAATACATTATGGCAACTAAATCCAACACTAAAAGTCTTAACTCTTTGTAAAGACATACACTAATTAAAAAGACGTAAATGGTATGTTTTTATTATAATAACACTTTTATTCAGCTTCAGACCCTAATATTTAATTGTACCATTCTTGGCATTTCATGAACAAAATAGTTACTGGTATATAAAGTAAAACTGCAAGATATACCAAACACCTCAGCTGTTACAAAATAATGCAACAATCGATCAACCAGAGAAAGAAGTGACTTGACAATATTGCAGCTGAACATGTTTTCCATAAATTGTTTTTCAAATTAATCTAGTTTATTTCAGCAGTAATTACCTCTCTCACCACAAGCATACTTTACTGTGCATATCACAATGTTTTTAGTGAGTTACATTCAAAATTTAACTAAAGTACTAATATCGTTATTGCTCAGATAAAGCATAATTTTCATAGCCTTCAATTTTGTTTGGTTACAGAGCCATCAAATGGAAAATAAGACCCTTTTTGCCACACCCACCTGTCACATCCTTTCTTTCAGGATTTGTTAATAGTTCTCTCTTATGCTTAATACTGTATTATTTTTAACAAATAGAAAGCCAAGGTTTTTATCAATCAAGTGATGTTTTATATTACATTGATTTCAGTAAAGAAAAGTGTTTATTTCTCTTTCTGTACAAGCTTCATTCACACAGGAAACATATCAACTAGTTTGGATGAATTTGTAATGGTTCTTGTCACATAGTTAGAAAACCAGAAAAGTTGTGACAGTTATGGGACATTGTCTGCTTTTTGCATGTTATTATTCTGTGTTCTTTGGAGTATTATTTAATTAACTCTCTCAACACGGGCTTGGTTAATTTGACTGACCATGTGACCTCTTTATACTCATTCAAAGTTTTTATAGATTTGATACTGCTAACTCTCAATATAGTTTGTATATTTCAACAAAATTTGGCAGTCTTTCAGTAAACATTATAAGTCTTTCACTTACAAAAAATCATATTTTTTATTGAAGTATTTTTAATAAACTAAATAAAGATTTGTCCTTGAATATATATAGAGTATTTGTTTTGAATAGTCCATGTGCGAAGTGATTTTCATGATGGGTCATGGGTGAAAGGCCATGTCATTGTGTTTCTTGACTCACATTCAAAATGTTATTGAACTACTATTTCATGAATTTATGTCAATAAGTTTTGTATCAAACTGTAGATTATAATTCATATTTTAGTATTATATATTACTCAATTTCTTAATTTAAAAGTAAATATTAAAAAAAAACAGTTAAACATAGATTTTTGTGTATCACGTGATATGTTGAATGCAGCGCTGGTTCAAATTAGAAATTAATGTTGTGTTTTGGAACACTTTCATTAACCACCCACCATAAAATGCACATCACATATAATAGTTGAATGAGCCACCTAAATGTCACGTTAGTGTAGTCTATATATTGTGTAAAGTATAGTATACTCCAATCCCTTATAGTGATGGCACATGATAAAACACACATTTGGCGTGTAATGCTGTTTGAATACAAGAAGGGAACAATGCCTCTAGCCACAAAGAATATCAAAGAAGTTTATGGAAATGTTTTGAATGTTTGTAAGTGTCAACAATGGTTTGGCAATTTTTGTTCAGGTGACTTTAGCTATAAAAACTGTGATGGCAGGGGCTGACATGTTGGAATTGATAGTGAAGCTCAGAAGATGCTTGTTAAGTCTAACCCAAGGCAACACACTCATGAAATGGCCCTGAAATTGCATGTCTCCATAAATCCATAAATAAGATGTTTAGGTGCTTCACAAACTCTGATGATCATCATTTCCAAAGGAGTAATTTATTTCAAACTCCTCAATCCACAGTGAACTGTCAATGCAGAGATCTATAGTCAGCAACTGGAACATTTAAATCAAGCCCTTCACTTGATGCAACAAAAGATTATGGAGTTGGGTTTGGAATCCCACCCACCACCACCATATTCTCCAGATATGGCACCATCAGATTACCATCTTTTTCATTCGCTGCAATACCATCTTAATGGGAAAACGTATGCAAGTGTGGAAGGTTAAAGAGGACATTGACATGTTTTTTGCTTAAAAGCCAAGTGATTTCTTTAATCACAGCATTAACAACCTGATTGTAAGATGGAAAAGTATCATCCATAAGAATGGAGACTATTTCATTTAATACATGTTTTGTTTTGAAATATAAGTTGTTCGGGTTTCTTCATCTAAAAAAGTGAAATTAATTTCATGATGACTTAATATATGATGTCAAAATACTAAGTCTATAGTTTTGTACGAATTAAGAACTCAAAGTATTGATATTGACAAGCTAGAATATAGAATAAGAACCTCTTATCATTTCTATTTGCTAAGATATTGCTCATGTAATAAATCAAACACAGTGGAACCCCTCCACCTCGTTCCATTTTTGGAAATGCTCCCTTATATACACGTACTTCTACATATGACATGAATAACCAATTGAAAGCTCAGAATGTCCCCCTAGTGGTTTTTTTAGTTATTTTAAATTCTTAGGATGCCATCTCTTTCTCTCGAGCCAAGATTTCAAGAAGGTAGACTGTGTCTTTAATATGTTCAAAATTTCATTATTTTTTTAGACTGAAATACAGATTAGTTACTAAGCTTGATAAATGATAGTGGAATTCTGTGGTATTGATATATTAATTTATGATTTTTAGTTATTCATCTGTATATGTAGAACCTAGAAAAATTATTTTGTTTCATATCCTCAACTTGAGAAATGTAAGGCTTTTGAACCTACGTCAAGTAGCAATCGAGTACAAAGGTTGTAACTAGAAGAGATAATTGTTTCCTAACTTCTTTATTTACTGTTCTTTGTTTTAAGAAAAATAAGTTTAATAACTTATTTCTAAATAGCAATAATCTATATACATATCTAATGTATAATAATTGAAATGTGACTGTATTTTACAAAATACAAGTCTATTAAAACACAGCCAAGACAGGTCACTTTGTAAAGACTAAAGGTCAGTTTTATACAATTGGATATGGTAATGTGAGTGCATGTGTGCTACATCCTAGTAACTTCTGTATTGTTAGCCAGGCACAGCTAAATGTATAATGTTATGAGATTTAAGCTATTTAGTCTAAACATTTATGTTTTCGTGTTATAATTTGTTGTCATTCTAGAAGGAAAGAGGCATGGTTTATATTTATTTTCTAATTTATTATGGTTACGAAGTAGGTCAAATCTGCCAAACCTGTACAGAGATTAGTTACTGAAAATAACAGATGAAATATAAAGTTTTTTCTCAAGAAATATTTAATAACTATCTGGACATTATAAAGATTTCACACGTGAAATTTGAAAATTTTCTGATGCATAAAAGTATTTTTAATCTTAAAATGAAAATTACTTTGCATGTTGGATAGACAACATGCAAAAAGGAAAAAAAGGCATAGAAAAACATTGCTTTACAAATCTTAAGACTTGATAAAAAAAATTGATATCTTGCGTATGAAAGCATTGTAATGTTTACTGATGATCTGCCAAATTTTGTTAACATACACTCACTAATTTAAAAGTTATAGTATGAAAACTATAACAAGCACAAAATGGTTATAACTCGCGTTATACTATTGAATTACCTTACCCACGAGCTACTCCGAGCTCCTAGCATGCATGCTTCGAGAAATATTTTTATTATATTATTATTATTTATTTTACTTAATCTAACCTTGACTAAGCTAAAGATATCCCTATTTTTACATTTTAGTTACTCTTATAATAATAAATAAAAAATAATCATGAAAAACAAGAAATAAAGTACTTACCCGAGTATTCTTTCATTTTGCTGTCAACTGTCGATGACACTTAACCCTACACTTCTGGCTTTCTATTTATGCAACTAGAGCCATTACAAATTCATCCAAACTTGCCATTTTGATCCCCATGGGAATCAAAGTTGTATTACAAGTGAAATTGATGATTATCTACTCAGAAAACAATGTAATATAACATGTCATTTGAAAGATGAAAACCTTAGCTTTATATTGGTTATAGGTAATATATAATTAAACATAAGAGATATCTATTAATAAATCTTGAAAGAGAGAGTGTGGCAGGTGGGGGTCTGATTTTCTGTTTGATAGCTCTGTAACCAAACAAAATGGAAGGCTATAAAAATTATGGTTTTTCTGGTCAATGATGATTTTATATTGAGTAATTTAAGTTTAATTTCATAGTTACTGGAGAGGTGTGGATAAAATAGAGAAGAGAAGATACATAGAGAAAATGTGTTACACTATGAGAAATTCAGGATTTTGTAAAATATTGCCTTATAGAATCAAGGACTTGTATACTATTAAAATAAGGATTATTAGCTATTATTTTATGCTATACTAATTGATATAATGTAAATAAAATGTAGTTTAATAAAAATTTGAATGTAAGACACAAAAACCTTGTGTCATGTGCAGTAAAGGATACCCGTGTCAATAGTGTTAAATACAATTTATTTGGTGCACTACTACCATTAGTATAAAAAAGTAGGGTTAAATGTCATAGGCAGTTGACAGCTAATAAAAAAAAAGACCCAGGTAAGAATTTTTTCTTATTTTTCATGTGTATTCTTTATTTCTTATTATACAAGTAACTAAAATGTAAAAATAGGAAATGCTTTAGGTTAGATTAGGTAAAATTAATAATAATAACAATTTTTCACAAGACACGCACCCAAACAAGTTGGAGTAGCATGTGGGTAATGTAATTTTATAACATAACATGAGCCGCATGTTTCCCAACTGATTTACAACTTATATTTTTAATGGTACGAATAACACTAGTAGTTAGACATGGTTCAAAGGCAATAAAACAATAAAATTTAAGCATAAATTGATGTATACTGTTAAGAATTTAAAGCTATTTAGGATAAACAAACATAGTTTCATGTTACCATTTGAAGTCATTTTAGGAATGAAAAAAAAAAGGATGACTTAGATATTTTTTTTTGGTGATTATGAAGTCAGTCAAATTGATCAACTTTGTGTAGTGTACTGAAAATAATAACGATGAAAGTTTTATGGGAAAACATACTTGAAATATACTTAGGAGGTTTTAGACATTACGCAAATGACATTTGAGAGTTTTGAGATGAAGAAAAGTATTTATAATCTCAACATGAAAATCATTTTGCACTCAAACTTAGTATATTCATGGACAAATCTTTAGTAAAAATACTGATTTTGTGTACAAACGACTTGCAATGTTTACTAAATTTTGTGAAGATACATATACTGTGTTAAAAGTTACAATATTTAAAGTATATATAACTAAAAACATTCATGTGATTGATCCTTTGGACCAAGTCTGTATTGAGAGAATTCGTAACTGGCTCAGTGCTAAATGTGCAGTGCATGTACTGTACATATGTACTCTTAGTCTAGTTTACTAGACTGTTGGCACTGACCGGGTGGATTCCACATGTCATGAACAGCCTACTACAAAGTGTATATGTATGAGATATATGCAGGACAAAGTGTTAAAATACTGTATGTGCCGTTTGATGGGAATTTCTGAAAAATTAACATCAGCTTTGGCTTTGATATATCAAACTGAAATGTTACGGCACTTCCACTTTGTTGATTCACACGGTATGGTAAGCAAAGAATAAAGTGATTCATAACTGGGGTTGTTTTGATTGGCAGCTTGCGATACAAACCTGAATATTTTGTCTCCTACAGTACAGCAGTATAACATTATTTAAAACAAATATATAGACCAAACAATTTAACACCCAGTAATGTATAGGATTTTGTTTCACCCATAGTTAAAACTAATATACAGTGTACTGGCAAGTCAAATTATACGGAATGCATTCACCAGTATTCTGAGAAGTTTTTAAGTTACAGTTAGAAACATAAAGAAAATCCAATAGTATGAATGATAGTAAACAGAGTGACAAGTTAAAGTTGAGTTTAAATGTATGTTTTGTATTTTATTCCTAATAAAGGTAATAAAGGATATTTTTACGTCCACATGTACATAATTCTGAAACATTTTGTAAATCATATTTGTTAAGAGTCATTTCGTACTGCCTGGTCTATCAATCAAACAGTTGGAATGATGGATGTTAAGATATTAACCATAATGAATGCTTGCAAAAATATTTAACAGGTTTAAAAATAGCTCTTTTTACATAACCTACATTAGAAAAGTGAACACATACTGGAAATTTAATGACAAATTTAGTTTGGTTAAAAAAAATTAATAAAAATCATCAAACACACCACAGTTGTGAAAAAGACTACGTCATTGTCACCTGACTATTAAAAGGAAAAAACTGAAAAATGAAGATTAGTATTAGTGCTTGATATGGAAAATACAGAATAAATTTTATGTAACTTTAGATTCTAGCATCATCTTTGTCCTGAAAGCTGACTTCTTTTCTTCTTCTTACTTTTATTGAGTTACTGCATGTGCTTGTCTTTTGGCTTGTTGTCTTTTGTTGAAAATGGTTTTTTTAACCTTTCTAACTCCTTGTTTATTTTGGTGCATATTTAAATGACATTCATTTCTTTGCTATGCATACTCAATTAAAATTATTGTTTTTTATGTTATTGGTAGTGAATCCTTCCTTTACTTCTAACCAGTGTGTAAAAGATTTGAATATCATTTATAGGTACCTAATTCTTGTCTGCATTAATATATTTTTAAATATTTTTTGTTACATGAGAATTTGCATCAAAGAATAAATTTGTTGGAGAAGTACAGGCAGCTGATTCTACAAGCGATGGACCCATTTTAAGGTATTGTAAAAAACAATTCATTAGATGCAAGTCAGTATTGTTTAAGTATACAATAACATACCATTGTAGGTATAGCTTTATATATTATTTAATTTAATGTAAAAGGTTATTATAAAGAAAACCTAGTGTCAGAGTCACATTCAAAATCTAAAGTTTTACTCAGGAAACTCTGAACAGTGTTTCAGAACTGTGTTAAATTGCATACCCAAATCACTTTTTTTTTGCAGACCATTATTACTTTTATTTCAACAATACAAGATTAGTGTGCCTGGTTGAAATTATTTTCCATGAGATAAGTACTTTCAAAGATGTTTAATCATTTTGATTATGAAGTTTGTTTTTCTATAGTTGCCCTAAAATTACCAGTTATATCTTTTTAAAGATTTTGTTACACATTTCACAAGAAGCAAACTTGTAGATGTGTATCAAAGCAAACATGACAGCATAAAATCATTTGTATCATGCAAGTGGTCTAAAACACATATTAATCAAATTCTGAATGTAATGTAAAAACTAAACAAATCAATTTTTTTTTCTTGTCAAAGAAGCATATGAGTAAACTAAAAGTCCTTAGAGTTCGCTATCTTATTTTGGCTGCTGACACAAAGCAAATTTAAAGATGATACCCAGTCAGTAAATTCAGAAAATTGTTTACTTTGTACTTTGCATGATGAACTTGTTATGTAAAATAAGCATAAAGACATTGTAGCTGAGATAAAAAGAATGATGGAACTGGGAATAAACAAGCACTACATACCTAAAGCAGTTCTCTGTATTACTTCCTATCAGAGAGCTGGAATTAAATAAAAGATATGGAAAACTAGAGGAGGGGTCAAGTAGCAAAGGAAAATACTTAGATAAATATCTAAATCATAATGATAAATCTTTTAAACAAAATTCTAAAACGTAGTGTAGAATAGTTTAGTTATACTTGACTACCTGAAAATAGTAGAAAATTTTTAATTTATATGTGGCCTTAGAGCATTTTGAGACATTTACCAGTTAGTTCAGGATTAAAGTTCACTTATAGAAAGATCCTCAGCTAGAATATTGACTAGGATGATATTCATGTTGGGAAGTTGAAAAGTAGATACTTCACAATCTGATGAAATGATATTAATGTTCAGTTATCTTGTTTTGTTTTTTATAATTTAAAATATATTAATCTAAAGATATTTACACAACAGAAAGCTTTTGTTATGTGCATTTGTTAATTTTAGAGAATGTTAACAACTAAATAGTTAAATACTAGTATCAGTTAGCACTAGAATGTTGTACTTGGCTGTATATGTTCCTAACTGGGGGAACCTCTGGCTACTAAGGATTAAATAATGTGTAGAAAAACCAGTTATTCTAATTTCTGATATGATAAATTATCCCCGCTCACGTAAATAACTATTCTCGTTCAGTGCTGCCCTCTATATGAAAAACATTTTTCTGCATATCACAAGCTTTAAGCTCCCATGTGTTTTAACAATTGATTGATTCAAATGCAAATCATCATGTGACAACCCTCCACCAATATTAGTGCGACATTATCCTGATGCACGTGACTTCATTTTTTCGATTCTAACAAACTATCACTTCTCGTTTGGCAGTACTTTTTTGAAATTATTAAGTTTTTTGTTAGTAGTTTTTTCTTCCGATAAAGATTTTGTTATCAATTTTACTTTCACAGTTCACTTTTAAGATAACTTTTTCTGCCAATTTTTAAAATTTGTTTTCCATTCACAACTTGTGTTTGATTTTCAATTTACACAATGAATTCAAAAGTTCATGTTACTACTTCGGATGTCATGCCTTCTACTAACACAATCACACAAGCTACAGTTGTGAGTGACTCAGCTTTGGATTTATCGGCTATCATCTGCTGTGAGATCAATTGTTATATGAGTCAACCTGCTTCACCTGATCTTGCCCCCATTCCTCCTGAACATGCTGAACACTGTTCGGGTCGACAATGATTTTGACAGCCTTTTACTGCCACCTGATTTTGCCCCTACTGTGGAGTCAGGTAGGCCTAATATGGCTTTTGTAGACATAATTTCTCAGGTATGTTTTAATTTATCCTTTTCCCATATTTCGTATTATCCCCATTCTTCTTTGTCACATGATACCTCATCCTCTCAGTGTTTCGTTTTCCCCCTTCCCTGGATATTAGGGTTCATGCCGAGCATTTTGTTTCTCAGATAGTTGAGGGTGCCAGCACACTACCCTTTCACCTTTGGTGGATCATTTGTCACATTCTGAGCCTTCATCTGTTCCTCCCTCCAGGGGTTCCTCAGCTCGTTGTTTTATTCAATACAGATGGACATGTCACCAACAGTACCGGTGACTACCTGCTGGGTTCTGGTCCAGTGGGGGCTCACTGGGGTGGTGGACTATGGAGGCATCCTTCTGAATGTGATAATAATAATAATAAAATAAACGTATACATTCAAAATAATTCAAACCATCCAGTTGCAAGTAGGGTGGTGGTGTTCAGCTGGTGTAGATGACGAGACGTCCTCCACTATGTAACATTGGAGTGAGCTGTTAAAATCGCAGTTCACTGCTCTGATTGGGATCCCACATTTCATCCCCCTCATAGATGTCAGTTCCCAGTGGTTGGGTTTTGGATTTAGAGCTGAATCAATCAACCTAAGTCCTCACACATGTGTTACACATGGCTATATTTCCTCACTCAATTATACTCTTGTTCCTCCATCAGTGTTGTGGGTCATGATGGAAGCACTTGATGATTCATATGGTTCTTCTTCTGATGCTATTCCTCGATGATCTTATTGTACTGAGAATGTTCTTGTGCTATTGGTGGTTCCTGTCTGTGGGTTTTACATGAGATGGATTACATTAAAAAAACAATCTTTATGATACTGGATGTTGGGTTCCTGGATCGTCAATCAATTTATCACATTATTATCATGTGTCCTGTTCATAAATCAGGGAGTACGAGATCCCCTCCAATCTGATGAACTTAAGGTGAAGACAGTTTGATCTTCTTTCCTACTCCCACAAGATGACTGGGTTTTGGATTGTAGGTGACTTTCTGTGTATGGTCTGTCATGCCCTAGCCACTCTACACCTGGAGGCACATCCTTTTACTCACACCCACATTGATGTACACTAGGGGATTGAGATTTCAATATAGTGTAGGTCGGATTCCTATCCATCGATTGTTCTCTCCCTTTTGGATGTGCTCCTCCCAATTTCCGTCCATATCTGCGACATCTCTTTTCTACATTGGGTGAAGAGTATACCTGGTACAGAAGTGGTGCAGTCTCCCATGTATAGTACTCTACTGTGAGGATCTACTCTTTTAGGGTGTCCTTTGGATGCTTCTTTATTTCCCTCGCACCAGTCTCTCTACCTATTTAGTGTGGGATTCTTGCTATGTTTGTGAGTGGGAGTAGTGTACTGTATCGGAAGTTATAATTTTCCTACACTAGAAATGTTATTCAGATAGGTATCCACCTCCCCTTACACTTCCCAACCTACTTCCCCACTCAAAACCGGTGCTTCCATTTTCTGCCAAAGTTTGAAGTGATAGTTCGGTAGAATTGAATAGATGGAGTCACATGTGTCAGGAGAGTGTGTCACACTCTTATTGGTGGAGGGTTGTCACATGATGATTTGCATGTGAGATGCATTTGAATCAATCGATTGTAAGACACGTGGGAGCTTAAAGCTTTGTGGCATGCAGAAACATGCAGGGCAGCAATGAACAAGAATAGCTATTTATGTGAGATGAGGTAAGTACCTATCAGAAATACGTTTTCAGTATAGGAAAATTATAACTTTCAACTAATAACCTGTATTGGAATACAGTAATATGAGAAAAGTTACTGAAAAGACCATTTGAAAGTAATTAACTTTACTGTTTCATAAAAAGATTGCTGATTCTTGTGTGTAATTTTAGTCTTTTGTTACTGATAAGGGGGTGTTGATGGTGTAACCTAAAACTGGTTTATTCTAGAGGATTATGTAGGTCAAACCAAAAGGGAAATTAACCCTTTTATCTTACAAAAAATTGAGAAGAAAAATTATAAAGGAATTCTTTACATTGTAACTTGTTGTTATTGTAGAGAAATCTATTGGTAGGAGAATTGTTTGCTTGTCTACTGAACAGAGTAAAATATCAAGGAATTCCCCAAACCTGATGTACTGTTATTATAGAGTAGGATATAGAGTACTGAGAAAAAGCTTTCCAACACTGTTCACAGGAATAAATCCACCGAGGTATAATGGTACTTTACCTGATCCAGTGGTGTAGGCCAAAATGAAAGAGAATATTTTTTCAGACTAAATATTTGTTTAGAAGGAAATTTTCACAAAAATCTTCTACCTAACCTCTTTTCGTTTTTATAATATTTTGAATTAACTAGTATAAAAGTCTCTGACTAGTATAAGGATTTCTAAACTTGCACAGCTAATAACCCACTTGGCAATTTTCTAGAACTTATGCTTAGTTGAGGGAATGGGGGGGGGGGGGTTACCAAAGTTTGGTAGTGCTATTATGTGTTTTTTAACATTTTAAGATCATTATTTTATAAATTTAACTTAGTTTTTTTTATATATATAAAAGAGTACATCCTACATAAGATAATCCAGCAGTTTGCAAACTGGGTTGCAAAGCAAGACAAAATTAATATTTTTGTCCTGTTTTATTATTAGTAAGACAGGTTTACAGGGGCCATCAGACAATGAAAATGAAGTTGGTATTATTGTAAATGGAGAAGTGGTTGATATGTGTGTGGACCAAGAGGAAGTTGACAACTTAATCTTTGGAGAAAGAAATAAGAAGACAAAATCATCCCCTGAAAAAAAAAGTTGTGTTAATCAGTATCGAAAGATGAAAGTGGTATGTTTTTAATAGTTGTACTATTTTTACTCACAGAAACGTAAGTAACAGGCTCTTCCCTCCAATATGTTTCAGGGTGTCTTTTTTTTCGTTTTAAAATTGTCACTACAGCAAGTGTTTCAGATTGTCTCCCATTTTAAGTTGTCACTCCAAAAAATGTTTCATGTTATCTCTTTACTTCAAAATCTATCACTCCAGCATATTTCAGGTTTTCTATTTTCCTTGTAAAATTGTCACTCCATTAAACATTTCAGGTTTTCTGTAAAGTCCTTTTCTCCTACATGTACTTGTTCACTTGATGAACAAAAGACATTCTAATAATATTACTTTTAACCCCATGTGTACAAGTGTGAATGTCACAATGTTTTACTGGTTACATTCAAAATTTAATTAATTTTACTATAAAGCTATCTAGTTTCATAACCTCAAGTCATCTTGATTTACAGAGATATAAACCAGAAAGTCAAAGTTTAATTAATTTTACTATAAATCTATCTAGTTTCATAACCTCAAGTCATCTTGATTTACAGAGATATAAACCAGAAAGTCAAACCATCATGCCATGCCCTTCTATCATATACTGTCTTTGAAAAAATGTCATCAATTCTCCATGATGTTTTCTATTATATTATCTAAAACTTATAGAAATGAAATATTTTAATTTACTAACTTATGTATAACACTAGCTCATTGTCATGAGAGCTTTTGAATAATTAGGCCTACAGATTAAAAGTTGCTATCATTGAGTTTATCTTGAACATTTCAACACACTTATAGCCTAGTTGGTAAGACAGTTAAGCTATAATAGTTATAGGATGTAGTATGCTTTGTGTGTATTATTATTCTGTATTTTAAGTTGAATATTTTATATAATTAAATAATTTGATAAAGTACTAACAACAACTGTACCAAAAATTATGGTTAAATTTTACCATGACTTGAGTACAAAAAAATACAAGATCCCTAAGAAAGTACTAAATTTCTTGTCTTTTGTTTTTATTTTTGTATTTATTGATATAGAAATAGCTAAAGTTTTAAAAGCAGAAAGTTAGGGTAGTTAAGAAAACATAAATTAAAAAGAAAATTAAATGATAAGTATTTCTCAGTGAGGTATGCTCACAAGCTGCATGTGTGTTATTTTGTTTACCATAACTTGACATATGCATTAAGTGGATGATATCATGTTTTGTTGTACAAGTTTAGTAGTTGGACACACTTAGGATAAATAATTATAATTTTCTGCTACATCTGCACTCATTCTAGAAGGTAAAAAAAAAAAGGGTCATTTAGATTTATTTTATTTTGGTTGTTGTTTTTATTGTGATGGTTACGAGGTCGGTCAAATGGACTGAGCCTGTATAGTGTTAGGGTAGAGAAACTAACTGAAAGAAAAATTTTAATATTCATTTAGAAAGTTCTGGAGGTTATGTAGATGAAATATGAAAACTGTGAGATGAAGAAAGTATTATTATTAACATGAAAAATCATTTTATACTCAGACTAGTCAGAGTTTGAGCCATACTGACTAAAGTAAATTCAGGGATAGATCTTTAGTAGAATTTTGAATTTTGGTATACAACACACTTGTAATGTTTACTAGAAGCTTACCAAATTTTGTGAAGATATTTTAAGTGAATATGGTATTATAGAATTTATAGTAAACATATATCTCCAATAAGGGCTCTGTCCAGTGGACCAACCCAGTACATTTAGAATTAAATGACTGTGTTTGTAACTGTTATTTAGATTTTTTTTTTCTAGAAACAATTTATTACCTTAGCTATAATGAATTTTTAATGTTCTTATATTACTTGCATATACAGATACTAACACAGTTGTGGTAAGGAATAGTTAAGCATAATATCATTTTTATAAAAGTCTCCTTTGAATTTGACTTGCACTTTTTTATCATTAACTAAACATGTGCAGCATGAGTGGATAGCTTGGATGTTGGATACATGATCTTTTTTTTGTTTCTTAAAAAAAAAGTGTACCTGTATTTCCTCCTTTTTTTATCTTATTTTGTTTCTATGTTGTTCATCTATTTTTAATCTATATACATATAACATTGTAGACAGTGCTGACGTATTTTGTTTTTGCCATTAATTATCTTCAGCATGTTTAGTTTCCTTATTCTCATTATTGTTTACTGTTGAGAAGTAAAATTGCAAACCTTGTCTGTTCGATGACATGTGAACTAGGTATAATTTCCTATAAGCAACATGAATGTCTTATCTGAAGTTCTCCATCCTATACCTGAGCTACCCACATGAAATCCTTACATGTATATGTTGAAAGTGTTCCTTCATTTCAGATGTTTAAGTTGACTGGAGTGACTGGCCTAGGGCCCAGCAATGATTACTATCAAATTGCTTATTTCTGTCATCTAGTCTTCATCCTAGTGGTCTAATAAAAACTTTAACCCTTTGAGCGTGTAATTAAATCTTGGGTGGGTTCTTGAAAAGTGTCAATTATACACTAACAAGTTAAATTTGAATTTGACCTTTGTTGGTATGTTTTGAATATCCAAGTCCACTAGTTGCTCTTTTGCTCAGTGATGTACAGTATGCACACACATAACTTAGGGTGGAAATTTAAGGATGTGTGAGTACCTCGATTGTTGGACTATGAGGAAAATTTTTTGTGGCACCGTGTGGTAAGTTCACTTGTTGCACCAAATGACTGTAAATGTCAAGTCGGACATTATAGCATCCAAAGGGTTAATAAATGATGGTCATTGATGTTGTCATGGGTTGAATATGATTCATGATGGTGATGAGAATATATTATTTGTAAATTAACATTTTAAATGTAACACTTGAAACTCAAAATAAAATATATGCTATTAATAACTTACCCTTTTCTCTAAATTACATACATTTGTAAAAAATTTAATCTGAAATACGTAAAGAATAGATTTGGGTAAGACCACTTGACATAAAACTTGGGTGGTCTATAAATGCATTTGAAATTGTCTAAAAAAATAGAGGAGGCAGAGTGAGAGAAGTGAAAGTTTTAAATTTTTGGCAAAAACAATTATATAAGGTTACAGTAGAGATGAAAAAATACCTATTCTTTTTGCTAGTAAAATGTTAAAACTTTTGTTCTTAGTACAACTTTTAAATATCTTTTCAAATAAGACTTCAGTATTAACATCGATTTAATAATATACTCCAATATTGATTAAACAACCTTATTAACTTTGACTTAATGTATGTAACAAAGTGCATTCTTGTTAGAAATTGGTATTAAAGCTATTAGAATAAAATGTTGGAAAATATTGATATGTGTTCCTATGAATGTCAGTGTGAGTTTTGATTATTAGTTTCCAAATTTTATTACCTAACTTACATAAATTGCATCTATTTTCAGCCAGGTAAAGGGAAACAACTTAAAGAAACTAATGATGCTGCCAAATGTACATCAGGTATCAGTAGTACTGCTGTCTCAACAACTCAGATTGAAGAACATGATCCTGCTGCTCTCTCAACAGCTGATAATCCAGGCTGGTTGAGTGTTTTCACTAAAACTCAGATGGAGATCTTAGAACTAGAAATGCGGGCTCGTGCCATCAAAGCGCTCATGCGAGCTCAAGGACTTGAACAGGAAGAGGAGGAGCATCGAAATGAAGAAGTAAATCTGGATGTTCCTTTAGACATGAAGGGAATCAAAAACAAGAAAAGACATAAAAGAAAACATATTTCTTCTGATTCAAAGAAGAAATTTCCAAATATTACCTGCCAAACAACTGAAACTAGTGTACCAGCAAATAAAGAAGAAAACAAAGTTGAGGATGATAATATTCCTAACGAAAATGAAATTTTTGGCTCAAGTAAAGCAAATTCTAAATCAAAAGAAAGAAACAAACAGACACAGTGTAATGATTATAGTAACAGCTGTGAAGTGAAGGAACAGTGTTTGGTTAACACAGAACAAAATATGAGATCTGATAAACCAGATTCTTTTGAATCAGATCACCTTGTCATAACTCAGTCAGAAAATACAACCAGTAAATTTTTTTCTCATAAGACCTCTTCCTCCTTGTGCAAAAAGGAAGAAAAAATTAGTATAAAACACACTTCTGAGGGTAAAAATTCAAGTGAAGAATTCGAGAAAAATAAAGTGTTTGAGAACCCACATGAAAAAAGTAATCTTGAAGTAAGAGATGAAAAAGAATTTGATATTCAGAAGTTGCAAAAAGAGAGAAATGTTGATCATTCGATTACAAGCGATGGAATACATCATAAAGAAGGTGTATCATATGAAGACAGTGGGGAAAATATTTAAAAGTTGTTAAACCACTAATCTTGAATATTTAGATAATCAAGTACATGCATTAAAAACAAACATGTACTAACTGACACCAAAGTTTGTAGCCAAGTGAGAAAAATTATTGAATGTAAAGAAACTGATGATATTAAAAAAATTAGATAAAAATAGTCCTAATGCAATAACTGAAAAAAATTGGAGTACCTACAACAAATTTGAAAAATAATGATAAATAGTGGAGAAAGAGGACAAGACAAAAAATAATAATTGCACTGGAATAATAAAAATACCGTAGAAAAATAAAACGAGCAAAAATTATTTCAGGTTCATAGTATTCAAAGATTAAAAACTTTCAAGGTGTGTAAAAAAAACAAACATAATGAGTTACAGATTATTAATGGTAAGAAGTGGGAGTGACTGTGTAACTTTCTATTACGTGTAGCTCAGAAAAACGATTATGCTTAAGTCTATCTTTTAGCCTTGTGTTGAGAAAACCATAAATACTACTTAATATCTGTTTCACGTTTAGCAAGTAACCTGTATTTAAGTGTACCCAGGAAATGTATAAAAGAATATGGTAATTGTGAATGAAACAAGTTAAAGTGCTGCCATCTCGTAACACGTGTATGAACCTTAAGTTCAACATTATTACTAGATGTTGAAATAAAACGTATCTCATGAGATTTGATATTGCGTTTAATTTTCTTTAATGTCTTTTATCGAATTGTTTAATTTGTTTTCTCGCTCACTTATGATACATTGTGTTATAAAGACAAATGACACATCATGGCCGTTTGGCTAGTTCTGTCCGCATTTCAAATATTACCGAGAACTATTAATTAAACCTATGATGAAACGTGTATATTTATAATCGCATTTTTCCCCATTCAGTACTTAATTTTGTACATTATGTAATTCAAGTAGTAACTCTAACACTGTGCCTGCGTTTAATTGAGAAACATATTTCGTGTGTGAATCTCAATTTCGGGGTTTTTATTTATGAACCAACTGTGGAGCAGTAAAGGAAGAATACTGCACTGAATTAACGTTCAGCCAGAGTGAAATGTAAATCGGTAATTTAATTACATTAACAAAAGTGGTTCTCCCGACTTCATCCGAAATACTCATGGCTGTAGTTTGGTCGTCAAGTCACCATTATTTAAAGACCAAAGTAATCACGTTAACTACATTACATTACAATGAAGAAAGGGAGCTAATCATCTATGATCATACCCATATTGATTTTAGGCTATGGCATACAGTTCTACACTGAGTGGTCACAAGTAAATAGACACCTAATTTTTCGTCATTT